TGTGGAAACAACAGTGGAATCAACACTTGTTCTTTGAATTTATGGATTCAATGACTTCTTAAGAGCTGTACACTTGCCGCGTTTTTGCGCCCTCAAATTCATTGTTTTCAATGTACATGCTTGACAGGTGTGCTCAAATGGCAGAGCAATGCTGTCATGAGCGATGAGGAAAAAATAATAATATATTTTCTAAAAAAAACAAAACAATTTTATCAGTGGTTAGGGTGGGTTCAAAGATTGAACTTTTTTATTCGTACAGTATAACACCTTTAAACAATCTGGCAATTCAAAGTTCTTTATTAAAGACAAAAAAAAGGAAGGACAAGATATGACAGAAACACAAGGCGATGTAAAGAAACATATGAAAAGAGTAAAATAAAGTATCACCAAATTCATACAAATCATTTTCCTGACCAGTGCTGAAAGTAAAAAGCTCATCTTTATTATTCAGCCATAAAAGCATAGCAATTAAAGTGCTCCTGTCCTCATCAACCTGAGTGTTTGCATTAATCTTTGTGTCTCTTTTTCTCTGTAGAAACATACAACCAGACAATATACAGGGACCAGCTATATCTTCTTTTAATTCATTTTTCCAAATAAATTCATTATTTAGAATAAATTCAGCATAAAGAACTAAATGAGGCAAAAAAAAACCCAAAACACTTTTAGACTCTTTATTTTATGATTGAGCAACAGCCTCCTGTGTCATCAGATCTCGGATGTATTTTTTTAGTGATCTCAGATCTTTACATCGATCTTCAAGCAGGAATGAACAGCGATACAGAGATATACATAGATACAGAGATATACATCAGTTTTCACATTTGAGTGACCAAGAATCCACTGAAGGTTGTGTGGTAGTTGGTTCCCCAAACATGTGAGTTTGCAGCCAAGACCACATACACCTGGTCTCCTGGCTGCAGCTGCAGGAATGCTGCGTTTCCTCCATTATCAGCTCTGTCAGCTTCTGTTTGGTGATCATGGGTCATAATCATGAGTTGGCTGTTCTTGTAGAGCCTCAACTTTGCCTGTTCATGTCCTCCAGCATGGTAAAAGATGGTAAAGTAATAGACACCTGCAACAGGGGCAACAAAGATACCTGTGGAGACAACAGGGTGGTGGTCACACTTTTTAAAATTTTACAAATGAGAAGTCAAATCATGAATCATCAGTAGTCGTCAGCACTTTATTTTATTGCCTTTCAACAATATAACCCAAAGATGAGTCTGTAATTTTTGTCCTCCTCAAATTGATTGTTTCAGTGTGTTCTTAAACATCTAGATCACATGACAGGAAGGCAGTATGTCTATTTTTCTTGATGTTTCAGCATAGCAGGTGGTACTTGATGCAGGTGACTGAGTATTACCTGTGTGTGGACTGTAGGCATAACCGATGTTTGTTATCACTCTTCTGTAGATTAAAGTTTTGTCTGTGTTGAACGGTCCAATGTCTTGACCTCCTTCTCCTGTTGCTGCACTGAATATCACCTTGGTTCTTTCTGTGTAAAACAAAACATGCTGATCACATTATTTTGTAAAGTATTTCCAGAATCTCATGAAGAGACTTTTAGCGACCATGTGAATGAAACTTGTCTGTGAGGAGACATGTTCTCTCCTGCTACTTCCATCTTTTGCTGTTTAGTTGGTAGGACTTATTTTGTTCCTACTCAAGTTATTGTGTGCCATCCATCATTAAACACAGTTTCACTTTACCTTTGTTCCTCACTTCTAGAAGCTGGTTTTCACTGTTCCTCAGCCTGCTTTCACTGTCCTTCAGCCTGGTTCCACTGCTATTCAGCCTGCTTTCACTGTCCTTCAGCCTGGTTTC